TTTTCCAACCTAAATGATTATATGATTCTCTCCACCTCTGGTAATTGTATACCCAGGTAATTCAGCTCAGCATTGTCAATGAGCAAATCTTATTAATTAATGGGGTGTTGCTGGCTTCTGTTTTAAGGGTAGTGATAAGTTCAAGCAGGACTGATTTTTGCAGCAGGACTTTCTGAAAGCCCGGCTCCTCTTGTGCAGACCTCCTCCTCCCTTACCTTCCTTGTGGTACATGCATGCCAGCTAGTACTTGTCAGTGACAGAGCGTGGGGATGAAATTGGGATGACCTGAAGTCATCTATTTTGATACAAAGCAATAGCTGCAAACAGGAACAGATAGTAACCATGCCACCAGTGAAGTCCTTCGAGGACTTCTCCATGGAGCTGCTGCCCACAGGCTCCGAGAGGTTCTGTGAAAGGATTTCCATGTGGAAAGAGTTAATTTTGTATACCCTTGAGATAGGATTCTTTTAGAAAACAGATTAAACTCTTTTTCTTTCATATCCATAAAGAGTACCTTATGTCTTTTCAAGTTTAGTGATAAAATGTTAATTAATGGAGATCCTAAACTGTAAAAGCCATCTAATTTGGTAAAATAATAGCATTTCCTAAAAGCTTTTTTCACAATAAAATCCGCTTTGATTCTTTAAAAACACGCGCTTCCATTTTAACCATATATACATGTGTACAGGTTGCCGAGGGCTGGCAGCGGGGCTGAGGGGTCTCTGGGGAGAGGTCAGACACAGCCGGTTCCAGCCGGCTGCATCGGCCCCCGCAGGGCCCACCCGAGCCCCTCAGTGACTCCGATGGTGCCTCTGGGAAACAGAGTTAAGAAAGGGCAAAACCCCCGCCAGGAGTGAGGAGCAGCCCTGCAAGCACTGAGGAGGAAGAGGAGCTTCAGGTGCCGCAGCAGACTCCCTGCAGCCTGTGGGGAGACCCCAGCGGGGCAGGGAAGTGTGTGGGGACAGGGAAAGGCTGTTACGGGATATAAGAGCCCCTCTGCTGTGCGATAGGGGAGTCTGGGCAGGAGGAGGCTGCCCCTGGCTTGGGCTTGGCAGCCACCACATACGGCATTCTGGCCTCTCCAAGTCTTTCGGGGTCGCAAAGCCGCCTGTAGGTAGGTTGGACGGTGCTTGTACAAGTTGGTGTAACTTCTCAGCTTTGCCCTTCTCCTCAGTGGCTGTGCTTCTGCACGTGTTCGTCAAAGATGGGTAACACGAAGCCCTGCCCGAGCAGTGGGATGGTGGCTTTCTAAATCGGCAGTAGTTGTCTCTGGTGTAACGCCACAGATAGAGCAGGAAGCTTGGAGAAAAGCTGATTTTTTCATCTAATAGGTAATCAGAGAATCCATATGGTAGAAATTTTAGTGGACAAAGTGCAGCAAACTTCTGTTTGAGGGTTTCGTCAGAGCATCCTTCTGAAATTTGAATTTGCCCCGTGCTGTGGAAGCACAGGGCTAAGATATGTAAAAGTGCACAGAGCTAATGCTTGTCTTCACGTGTTTGGTTGACTTCTCACCAGTGTTATGGTGGTATTACAACAGTTAGTTTAATTGGATTTAATAATGATGATTTGCCTGCTACTCTGCGTGGAAACAAATCGGTCCTGCAGAATGTGGAAAAGATGTTTATGCCCAAGGATGTACACAAATGAGTTTACAACATACATAGTCATGTTTTTAGGAACCAAATTGCAAAGCCTCCCATATATTTGAAAGTGATTTTAATTTACTTTCCTAAAAAGTAAGTTTGTCTATTCAAAAACATACTTCCAAATGAATCTTAAATAAAGTGTTACCTGGTTTATTCTCATAGTTTCCAATGGTTGTACTATTTCAGATTACTGTTAGAGATTTTTGCGGTTTTTTTGTTTGTTTGTTTTTAACTCCGGGTGTTTAGTATCAATTTAATTGCTACAATATGGCTCTGGCTTAAATTAGAGGCTAAGTATGAGGACTGACCTCATGCATCTGTTGGAGATGAAGTCTTATGAAAGAGAATCTTGCTGTTAGTGTCTTACCCAGAAGCTCTGCAACCTACTCTGCGTTTCTTATACTTTGCTTTTCTTTCGGTAGGGCTCAGTGTCTGTTACTGTATACTTTAAACTTTTCTCGTTGAGTAGGTTTCTGATGGTTTTCCAGTACGTCATCTAGGAGGTCTTTCTGCCCCAAATCAGTTATTTCTACGGAGGAAACAGAACTGATTGTAAACGAAGCAAATCAACCATATGTTGAAAGATGTCGATTAAAAGGATGTGTTATCCATAGACTGGTCATTATGAAGTTGTAGCCATTACTGCTTAGGGCATTGATGAAGTGCAGGGGGGGAAAGCACAGTGAAATTTTTCTCATTAACAATTTAATTAACTTTTAATTGATTTCTAGGGAGATAAATGGTTTCATTACAAAGTCTTACAATGAATACCTTCACCAGAATTAAACATGGAAACTTCCTGACAATTGTTCCGATAACAAAACATGAAAATCTCTTATGATCTTCCCAGATGTCTGTAGCCTCATTTATGAAGTCAAATAAATGAAAATACCTTGCTCACAGAATGCCCTTTGTTTAATTTACATAACCTTATTCATCATGCCATAATTTAATTAAGGGGAGGAAAAATAACAGGTCAGAATTCAGACTATGTTGAGGGCCTGGTAGCTCTAGGAAAAACGTAAGAGTTTTGTCCATCCCTATAAGGGCAGTTCTGTAATAGCAAGAATTACTTGGCCGATACTGAAATTTGAGACTTAGTTCAGTACGTGAGAACGAACATACCAACTGAACAAAATCTAAGCAGTTTTCTATTGCAATCGTCTGCCTCTTCTGAGTGTGGAAGAATAAGGATGAAATGTGGTAACATTTGGTTTTGAAGAACATGGTAAACAAACTATAGAAAGTTAAGTAGTTCTTCAGAGAGCAATGATTAAAATATCACTAAATGTGACAAACATGTTATGTGAAATGAAAATTTCTAATGTGTGCATTCGAGCTATCTGCTGACTGCATCCATCTTTCATCTAAGCATGTACTCCATAATGATTTGAGCAGCAATGAAACACATAAATTAAACAGTGTAAAATCAAAATTCCTCTCAGACACCACTTAACCCTGAAGATACTTCAGCATTAGAAGTATTTGAGGGCTTGACTTTAACAGCATCTAGTTTGTCTTCTACTTATGCGCACAGTTGTCCAAGGCTGAGCAACTAAATGTGTATTTTCTCCTGAAGTCCTCTTGGGATCCAGTAAACCTACCTTCTGTCACTGCAAATTAAGAGATTTGTTTCTGCGGGATATTTTATCTTCAGCGAAATATCAGAGAGGGGCAAGCTGCCATAAACAAGAAATGCTGAGTAGCCACACGAGCATTAGTACCCTGTTGAACATTACCCTAGCTTACCTTGTTACTCCCATGTAGGCATGTCCCTTGTAGGTATTTAAAATGTGCATTAAAACATGGTTCTTTTTTCTGTTTCTTTAGGCTACAGACCCAGATGCTGGTGTTAATGGTCAAGTTCATTACAGTTTGGCAAACTTCAACAATCTTTTCCGAATCACATCAAATGGTAGCATTTATACAGCAGTTAAACTGAACAGAGAAGTAAGGGACTATTATGAACTTACTGTTGAAGCAACAGACGGAGCTGTGGACCCTCGCCGTTCAACGCTAACTTTAGCAATCAAGGTGCTGGATATTGATGACAACAGCCCTGTTTTTACTAATGCTTCCTACACTGTCTGTGTCCCAGAAAATCTACCACCAGGCACTGTCTTCCTGCAAATAGAGGTAAGAAAGCATTATAGAGTGAAGAAGATGTTTTGTAAATGTTCTGCAATACTAAGCATGTTCTTATTTAACTTGTCAGTGAGACCGCAGTAAAAGATTGCAAACTGGAGTGGAGGAAGTTATGACACTTAACAGACTGAAAAATGCATGACTTTTAGACAGGTACATAAAAATACTTTGAAGCTGAGGTTCATTTGGAAATAAGAGCAATTATTAACCAACAACAAAGCCTACACTACTATTGTCATTTCTTGGAATGTTGTTTTACACATTTAAAGTGCTTTTGATTTGTTTTCGAAAGCTCCTCGTATTGGTGCTCCTGTTTACATTAGTAGCAAAAGAGAGCTTTATCTCAACTGATCTAGTCATTTAAGTGAAACCTGGATGTCTAGCCTCACATTATGGTTAATGGAAATAGTGGTTGCTTCCAGAAGCAATTCATCCAATACCCAGATCATCATCTAAGATAGCTGGAGTAAAGTGAAGTGAACACCTGCAGGTGTTGTCTTCTCTTCACTGAGTATAAAAGATACTCAGACAAGTGAGAGTTAATTGTTCAAGGATGAGCTGGAGCTATAAAGACAGCTGAGATTCACTTCCCGCAAGCAGTCTGTATATCCTCCTGATGTTTTGGTCAGCATCCTTTAATGAGAAGAATCTGTCCTGTGACAATTTCAACAAGAATGGTTTTCTCTGAACCTCACTGCAGATAAACCTAATGTCAAATTACAGCTAAAGCAATCCCATAATACTCCTTATCCTGATGAAAATTAACATTCTTTGTCTAAATACTGGTATGAAATAAAAACATCTGTACAGGGTGAGATCAAATGTCTGCTTAGCCCAGGATCCTCTCCCTGGCAGTGGCCGATAGCAGGTGCTCAGGGAAGAGGACAAGAACAGACTGAGCTTCCAGTGACTCTTGCCCAGAATACTGCGCGTGTTTCCTGTGGCGGGTATCTCTGGATTTTAAAACCTGAAGTGGACTTGTCTTCCTTGTGTTTGTGCAATAGTATTAAGTACATCCAATACTATTAGAATAATATAACAAGACTAAAGTTTTTTGCAGTAGTTTGCTTTTTTATGTTCTTCAAATCTAGCAGGGATTTTTTGTGAAAATGGATTTTGTTTGGGTTTAAGTACTTTTTTTTTTTTCCTGTATGGCATGCTCTAGGCAAAGGATGTTGATCTTGGTTCCGATGTTAACTATCGAATACGGACACAGGAAGCACTACAGTATTTTGCACTGAACAAGTATACAGGCGAGTTATCGCTTTTGAAGTCCTTGGATTACGAATCATTCTCTGACACGGAAGCAACCTTCACCTTTCTTGTGGAAGCCTTCGATAGCAAGGGCACTATGCCTCCTGGTCTCGCTACTGTCACAGTGAGAGTACAGGTAAGAGAAATAACTTGTCAGTTGGTAGCATCCTCTCCTATTTGTTACAGAATACTTCATCAACGCTTACAGGTGTCCTGATGAAACACCAGAGCACGCCAGCAGCATGTCTGCTTTCCTGCTCTTTCACTTGTATGAAACTACTGCCTTTTTCTGACGGCAACTTGTTCACTTAAACATACACTTTATAACAGCTATAATTACTTTTCTATATGCAATTACGTAGTTAAATCTTGGATCACAGATTTATGAAGTACAAGAATACCTGACTCATATAAATGTTTAGCCCTTTAGAATCCCTGAAAGGTTGAAATAAGTACCTAATGGAATTGTTTGCAAAAATGACACCATCACGTTTCAGTTAAAGCTCTCATAAATTGTAATTTTATGAACCATTTGGGTGTATTGAGCGCTGATGTGGCGCACCACATCCTATAATTCAAATTCTGCTGGTTGAAAATACAGAGCTGCAAAGGAACAGGCTTATTTAGGGGTCTTGCACAATGAATTGTTTTTATGCAGTGAGTTACAGCATCACCTCTGGGTTTCAGTTATTTCACCAGCAATATGGGGATAATGATATTCTCTTTGGTAACGATCCACAAATGAAAAGCGTTTGTAGCTGAAACATTAGCACTTACCCATCTTAATTTGGTTGATGTACTCATGTCCGAGAGGAGAGGATATTTTAGATGCTCTAAATCATGCTTCCTTTCATTTACAAAGGTGCAGTTCTCGAGCCAGTCAGTCAAGTCCTTTTGCGCAGTTGCTTCCTTTTTGTTGACTTTGTCAGTGAAGAACTGTGAGCTGTGGGAGAGAAGAGAGTTTAATTACTCTCATTTTAGCTAAGAAGCAAAAATTGTAGCAGGACAAAAGCGTAGCTCACAAATGTGAACTTCCTATCTGGCAACTTCAGTTTAAATGTAAGTCTGCGTAAAGTATTTAGCATATATGAATCAGTCTTGGGTTCAGCTTACTGTGTATCTGCAGATGCTATGAATTGCCACATGATTTTGAGTAATTCTGTTTGTCAGTCTCTACTGAGCTCAGAATTATTTTAGGGACAGTAAATGTCTCCGATTATTAGCTTTGATGACAATGTAAGAAGGCTTCTACAATACCTCTCCATCTCTGCAAAATTTCTCAGACTGAGATGCAGGTCACCTGTTTCCTAATAGTCTGCGCTCTTTCCTGGCAGTTTCCAAGTCAATCAAAGAAAACATAGCTTTTGACATCATTCCTTGAGCCTTTTCTGTTATACTTTTAAGGAGGAAGTTGCTCAAACCTGTTTTTTTCCTAAAAGAAACTTTTTCGCAGCACAGTGCATTTTTGAAAGAATTGAGTGTTTGGGTTTGTTTGGGTGTTTTTGTTGGGTCTTTTAAAGGTACTTGTTTTCAAATAGGACTGTATTCGGAGAAGAGCTGTGGTCTGCATCATAGGGCTGACCCAGCTGTATGATTGTGCGTTTCTGTTGTATTCATTAATGACAGGGTACAGGGAAGCAATACAGTTCAACTTGTTGACCTTAGTGTAACAGCAGCTTGTGCACTGTCGAAGGAGGTGGTGTGAGAATAGGGAACTTAAGAAGGGGATTAGTAGGATCAAAAAATAGGTTTCTTGTTTTCCTGGGAACTCTTCCCACACATGAGCAACAAAAAGGGAGCGTGATGATATTTGTTTGGAAAGGCAGTATGTGAGAGGCTGGAATACTAGGCTGGATAGGAAAAGGTGTTGGGCTGGGGACAGAACAGGGCCTGAAAGTGAGGACAAGCAGCCTATATTGTAAATGAGGAAGAAAATAAATCAAAGACGTGATTAAGTGTCATACTCAGTGACAGGTTGACTTTTGCAACAGATCAGTGGGCATAATTAAATATTATATATATTGCTGAGATTAAGATGATGCTTAGGTTCCAGCCTTGAGTGACAGTAGAACAGTAGTATTTTGAGTGGCAGTTGAGAGAACGGGGGAGGGCTTGTGGAGAAAACATTTTTAATATCTCATTTTGTTGGGCAGATGTCATTAACGGGTTGTATGTCAGGTGGTAGAAATTTAGAACCTTGGTCGCAAGAGATGTCTAAAATAGAAAGAATAGTTTAATTTGAGCTTATAGATGAACATTCCAGTTACAAAATTTACAGGGTGGGGGGAAAGATGGAGATCAAAATCAGAGCCTTGTGCTACCCCTGTGTGGGATGAGAAGGATTCACAAGAGGACACCTTGAATGGTTGATTCAAGAGACAGAGCAGCAGGAGAGGGGTGCAGAGTCCCGGAAGCCAAGTGGGAACAAGGAGAGCAGGCCTCGGGTGTGAAAAGAAATACAGAAATAACAAAGTGCGTTGCGATGCAGTTTGTGTTTGTTCTTAATGGAAAAGACTCATATTCCCTCTTGTTCTGAAGCGGGAGAGGGGGAGAGCTGACATGCCTTTGCTGGGGGTGAAAAGTCCCGATCAGCGCAGAGAGGGCAATGCACTAAATTTCCCTTGAGGATAGAGGCGGTGGACGCCTTGTACAGGGCCAACGCCAGCACATCCTGGTAAGCTGACAGAGGGAACTGATTTCTGTCCAGCAGCTCAGTGCGGGTGTTTACAGGGCACTGAATCCGGCCCTAGGTCTTGAATGCATGATGGTGTACATGACATACGTTATGTAGCGGTCTAGAGCCTCATGCACAGTGTATAGCCTGGTTCCAATCCAGGCTTTTATTCCTCTGCAATCTTAACTACGGTCCAAACTGCTGCTTTAGGGCGTAGCTAAATAGATAACTCCTTATGAGCTTGTTCACTGTTTCATTGGAGTCATTTATAATTTTTTGTTGCCCAATTAAGATGTCTGCTCAGGGAATTGAAAGGGTTCTAAAGCTCAAGATTTCTGCCAGACAGGGTGCTTTTGCATGGGGATGAACACCCCTCTGCCGTGGCTCTGGAGGAGTTGTTCCCATTCAGCCTGTCTTTTGCTCCTGCTCTGGGACCAGGAACTGGGTGTGTCTGATTCTTCTTAGTAAATATGCTTTTACTTTATTTAGAACATGGTATTAGAGTAAATATTTTAATACCGTGTTTGTGACCCCAAATAGGAAATAAACCAAGTGCAGGTACACTGTAGGCCCTAACATAACAGTTGGGCTGATTGCAGTCTTTAATAACACAAAATTGAACTAGAGAAGACCAGAAGCGAGCATTAAGGCAATAGTAGGTCCAAGCAGGGAATTCATGTAACCATTAGGGGTTCAGTTCCTCTAATCCTCAGAGCATTATTTGTATTACTGAGGTCTCCAAGTCCTTTTGGGCTTGTGCTGCTCTGTTAACATTTGTTGTTTTTCAGTCCAGCTCTTAACCGAAAGCGTTGTAATTTTTACTATGTAATAGGATTCTGTTAACTAACTATGGACAACATCTGGTGGTTTCATGTATCATTTATGTGATATAGAACTGAAGAGCAGCAGTACAGTATACCCATAATCACACTGATCTTTGTGGCTTGGGGGAGGGTAGATACACAGTGATTTTCTTTAGACTCTTGCTTTCAGCCTTTGGCATGACAAGTTACAAATAGTTTGTATTAACCTTCCCTGAACTTGATCAAAACACAGATTGCATAGCAGAATACTCACTGCAGAAAAAAAAACTTAATCTGTTACCTGCATGTCAGTATCGAAATACATTATTGGCCACTGCTGCAGCCAAATGGCCCTGTACATTGTGTGGATGTCTTATGACTCTTTCTTCGAAGAAAGCCAAAGGTAAATTAATAAATTGTTGTATCCTTTCTAGTATTACTGAGGAGGAACAGTGTAAGCGGCATTGATTTTTTCTTCCCAGAAAGATGCAAACCACCTCAAACAGGCTGAGATTTTTCTTTTTTTCCCAGTTCTCAGAGTCCTCTTGCTGCTTTCATAACTTTTCACCTTAACCTGAAAGTAGTAATGAGTCATTTTGTCTTGGGATGGCATGGGAGATTGCACAAGTGATCATCCAGAATAATGGATGATTTTAATCTGATCTGTAATCAAGAACACAAAACTTTTAATTTTATCTGGGTTTTTTTAATATATAATTATACAGGTTAGACATACCAAATTTTATCAGTCTTGAAAACATAGTTTAAGGGATAAAAAGATTAGCAACTCCAAGAAACAATGTGTGTGCTATTTTTCAGTGGTTTGCCACTGTCAAGGCATAATTTCTCTCACCATGAGAACGGCGGAGATTTGCATTCACTCAGTGTCTGAGAGGGCTGAATTGTTTGCTAAGAGTGCCTGTAGAGCATATTGCAGAATGCAGAAGCATCCCCTCACAATATAAATGTTTCTCAGTATTGGAGGAAGCGAAATCATTACTGTTCAAATGGTGTGCTTATTATTAGGATTTAGCATTTGGAAACAATTATTATGGTAATAGAGCTTCTTAACAGAAACAGGACTAACCTTTTTCCAGTTTATATTGCTGTTAAATGAGTAATGTGTTCCTAAATACATATTATAAGAATTTCTGTATCATGGGGCCTGTAAGGTACTTGCATATTTTATGCTGTGACCTCGTCTTAGTATTATTACCAGCATTATTATTACCAGCATTATTTTTGTATTACTTTACATCTCTTTCTTGTTTGTTATAATTGCTTTTTCTCCTCCTTCTGTGTTCTGGGATTGGTTTTCTTTTTAGTTTTTCAAGCAGAGTATATAGTGTAATGAAGCCATTATCTCTGGCTGATGATTCAAAGATGATTCAATAGAGCAACAAGAATAAGTAAAAACAGATCTATATGTTTCTAGCAATGCCATATTACGAGACTGTCTACCAAGTATTTCATATAATTTCTACCATGCCTTAATCCCAGTGGACTGTTATAAACATTATACAATGAATTTCCAGATTTGGTAAAACTGACTTTACCCAGTCAATAAATACATTGCTATCATCAGAGAGTACACCAACTGCAGCAGTCAAACTAGTTTTTCAAGAGAAGTATGCCATTCAGAAGTTAGGAGTCAACATA